GTAGCATTTTCCGAAGGGTTCTTGCTGTCAGGCTTTCCACTAGAATCCCTTTGGGGTGCTTTCCAAAGGGTTCCTGTTGTGAGGCCTTCCAACAGACTCCCTTCGGGGTGCTTCCCAAAGGAATCAGATTGTGAAGCTTTCCAATGTAATCCGATTGTGAGGCTTTCCCATAGAGTACCTCTGTGGGGCTTGCCAAAGGAATCCTGTTGAGAGGCTTTCCAATGGTACCATTGTGGGGCTTTCCAAACGAATCCTGCTGAGAGGCTTTCCAATAGAATCCTTCTGTGGCGCTTTCCAACAGATTCCGATTGTGAGGCGTTCCAATAGAATCCCTCTGTGGTGCTTTCCAAAGGAATCCTGTTGAGATGCTTTCAAATGGAATCCTTTTGTAGCGCTTCCCAAATGAAGACCTGTTGAGAGGCTTTCCAATGGAACTCCTTTGTGGTGCCTTTCAAAGGGTTCCTGTTGAGAGGCTTTCACATGGAATCCCTTTGTGGTGCTTTCCAAAGGGTTCCTGTTGTGAAGGTTTCAAATGCTCTCGGCTAGGTGGGAGAAGGATCGGCGCAGGTTTGACGCAGGACAATGGAAACATGTAGAGAGACAGGGAGAGAGAGAGAGAGAGAGAAACGGAAACACATCGAGAAAAATAATGAGAGAGAGAGAGAAGGAGTCGTAGAGAGAGACTCGCATAGGTTTTCTTATTAAAAACAACACGCACAAAAACCACCAGGCCCCCTTTGCGCCTGGAGCCCCGTGCTGGACGGGGAGAGAGGCGCGGCTCCCCTTGCTAGGGGCCCCGCGTGGGCCAAGGCGCCTCCCGCCGGCGCGCAATGACCCACCACGGCGCTGCGAGCCGGAGCGCCCCGCAGTCCCGAAAAGAAACCTTCCGCAGCATCGTCCCCGCTCGGCAACCAAGATCGGGTCGGGCGAAAGGGGGGGATTGGGAAAGGGGGGGTTACGAAATTTGCTGCATGCAGCTGGTTTCGGCCTCACCGAGGGGCCAATTCCTCGATACATGGCCGCTCCCGGCGCCGGGAGGCGCCAGGAAAATCAGCTACGTGAGCTGATTCTCAAACCCCCCCTTTGCTATCCCCCCCTTTCGCCCGACCCGACAAGACGCACCGCCCACACCCCACTCCCCAAGCTTCTCTTCTCCCCCGTCGCTCTCCATCGACCCTTGCCCGTCATCCTGTGTGCGAGCTTCGTCTAGGTCGGGCGTGTCCTCCTTCGGGGATGGACAGGCCCCCCTTTAGTAAAACGTGGTTTGGTGAGAACGGCCTGAGGCCCAAACCTGGCGGGCGCAAGCCGGGAAAATAACGGCCACGGCGCCCTCTCGAGAACCGAAAACGGAAAATTCACTAATCGACGTGTTACTGTTGGGGGTTCTGTCTACCCCCGACTCCTACACGCGGATGTTGGACGAAAAACGCCTACGGGACGGGCCCCGCCCGCCCCTTTCTCCTGCGGCTTCTGTCCATTGCCACCGTCTGCTGGACACTTTTTCCGTCAGCGTCGAGGCAGCGAAATCCGCACCAGCGTGACAGCTAGGCAGGGGCACTGACTGGCGAATTGGCCGGAGTGCAAGGAGGGAAGTGGGAGGCCGACGAGAGGAAGGAGAGACGCTCAGACGCCGAAGAATTCGACGATGAGCAGCCGGCGGGCGGCAACAGCCAGGCGCGCCGGGCCAGAGCGCGGTGGGCGGCCGTGGCGAACCACGGGGGCAAGGTTGGCGTGAAGTGGCAGCCCGTCTGCTGAAGACACGCACCTGGCGAAAGTCCGATCCACAACTCCCCCTCTGGGCTTCTAGCAAAGGAGGGCTACCGCTTGCTTCTTGAGATGTGCCATGGTCACGCCCATGGTGCATCCCCGCCCCGATCGCACAGGAAGACTCAAGTCGGGCATGTCCCTCAGCAGGAGGAATCTTCAAACATAGTCAAAAACATACTCTGGGGACGAGTGTTTGACCGTTTTTGATGGCTTTCTAAGACTACCTTTTATCGTCCGTCCAACATTCGCCTGTAGGGCGACATGCCCGACCTAAAGGAAGACTGCATAGCCTTCTCTGCTCAGAGGGGGGTGCGCCAGAGCTTAAATACAGGCCACGCGAATCCAGCAGACAACATTGCCACCGCCCCCGTGCTGCGACTCTGCGTGAGTCCGAAGCCCGCGCGAATCTCACGTCGGGCATGTCCTCCTACAGGCGGATTTCGGATGACAAATGAAAAGTGTCAAAAAATGCTCACAAATGGTCAGAAATAGCCCCAAAAATGGTCCCCCGACTAGTGTTTGACTGTTTTTGAAGATTCCTCCTGTAGAGGGACATGCCCTACTTTAAGCTTGGTGCCTCGGCCAAGAGACGCGCCCTGGTCACACACGGACGGGCCCCGCCCGGCCCATCTCCTGCGGCTTCTGTCCATTGCCACCGTCTGCTGAACACACGCTCAAAAATAGCCAGAAAGAGTCGAAAGATCGTCCCCATACATTATTTTGTTACTATTTCTGCATACTCCTCCTGCAGAGGGGCATGCCCGACCTAACGCCAATCAACAAGCCATTCGCGCTCTCGGCACACTACCCCCCCCCTCTCGGCGCGTGCTGGATTATCCCCGCCTCGTATAATGAGGAGGCGCGGGAAGGGGGAGTCGAGGCGTAGGTCGAAGGTGAGGGTGAAAGACAAGAATCCGTGGGGCATGGCGCGCATGAGGAAGCGACGACGACCACGAGGAGGAGGAGGAGGAGGAGGAGGAGGAGGAGGAGGAGGAGGAGGAGGAGGAGGGAGGAGGAGAGAGGAAGAGGAAGAGAGGCGGAGGAGGAGGAGAGGAGGAGGAGGAGGAGGAGGAGGAGGAGGAGGAGGAGGAGGAGGAGGAGGAGGAGGAGGAGGGAGGAGGAGGAGGAGGAGGAGGAGGAGGAGGAGGCCGTCGAGCGAGGCTTTGGCTCTCCTGGGCCAGACCTCGGGCCTCGGGCGGCCGTGGGGGGGGACGCTCTACACCCTGCGAAATGCTTAACAAGGGCTCCCAACTTCGGGAAATCGAGGATTCCCATATTTTCCCATATTTTCCCATATTTTCCCATATTTTCCCATATTTTCTGGGAAATCGAGGATTCATTGTGTCTGTGTGTTTCTTTCCCTCCTCTAGGGCTCCCAACTTCGCGCTTCGCGCCGCGCGAAGCGCGAAGCGCGAATAACTTCGCGCCCTCGCGCCGCCCCCCCAAAGGGAGAAAAGGAGGACGAGGAGGAGGAACGAGGACCGCGAAGCGCGAAGCGCGAATAACTTCGCGCCCTCGTGGGAGCCCTTGCTTAAGAAATCATGGGTTAAGAAATTCAGAGTCTCAGAATTGCAATAAAAACCCAAAAATTCGATTCAAATCTTAGGATTTACATTGAAACATTAAGAATCATCGAGACCCTGGCCGAAAACTTAGGTTTTCTTAAGCATCGCCTAAGGTGTAGGCCAGACCCCCCCCCCAAAAAAAAAACAGAGACGACGCGCTCTCTCGGCGAGGCGCCGCCGCTTCGGAAGGCACACCCGAGGCCGGCATCCCCGCGGAGAGGCGACGCGCGGCGCCCGAAGGTCCCCGAGCCTCGGCCACGCACCGGCGCCGCACACGGGCCGCCACCCACGGGCCGCGGAAGCAGGAATCACGGCAACGTGCTCCTCCTCCTCCTCCTCCTCCTCCTCCTCCTCCTCCTCCTCCTCCTCCTCCTCCTCCTCCTCCTCCTCCCTCCTCCCTCCTCCTCCTCCTCCTCCTCCTCCTCCTCCTCCTCCTCCTCCTCCTCCTCCTCCTCCTCCTCCTCCTCCTCCTCCTCCTCCTCCTCCTCCTCCTCCTCCTCCTCCTCCTCCTCCTCCTCCTCCTCCTCCTCCTCCTCCTCCTCCTACTCATCATCATCATCATCATCATCATCATCATCATCATCATCATCATCATCATCATCACCATCAACATCACCATCACCACCAGCAGGGGGAGAGGACGAGAGTGGGCCAGGCAGGCCCAGGACGCGCAGGGGCGGATCGATCCAGGACGTGCCGGAGACTCCTGGGAGCATTATGGAGGTCTCTGGAAGCGACCGCGGCGCCCGATGCATCCTGCGCCCCGAGCTTCCCCCCCCCCCCGGGCAAGGCGCAGGCAGGCGTCCTCCCGCAGCCCAGCGCCCGTCTCCACGCCCCACAAGACGCGGCGCCTCGGCGTGCTCGCCGAGGGAGTCGATCAGCACGCCAGGCAGGGCGGCCGCCTTGGCGGGGAAGCTGGGCGCCACGTGCGCCAGAAACATCACCTGGACGGCCCCTGGCCCCTGAGGAGGGAACGATCCCCGCCTGACGTGAAGTCGGGCATGTCCCTCTACCCATCGGTCGGAAGAAGTAGGTAGAAACATGAAGTAGGAAGGCGTTGAAAATAGATTGGGCGTCTGTCCGCCCCTCCAGGCGGACGGAAAAGGGGAAGCCACACGAACATCAAAGTAGGAAGGCGCTTAAAGTAGATTGGAATGAGGGAATCCAAACATACCTACATTCAACGACCGATGGGTACAGGGGGGAGACTCAGAAATGGTCAAGCAATAGTCTGGGGACGACTTTTTGACTATGTTTGCTCAAATTTTGACTATGTTTTAATTTTTCTTCTCGAACCCTCATGTGGGAGGAAATGTCCAACCTAACCCCAACGTTGCCCCGTGGAGTTTGGGCCATAGTTCCGCTCTCCAGCGGCCGTTCGGGACGATCTGGCCACACCCAGAACGCCCTCGGCGAGGCGCAGCCGCTGAGAGGCATCCCGAGGCGACAAAGCCGCCGAGGACCGAAGGAAACGCCCGAAAACCTCGAGCCTCGAACCGCCCCCTGAGCCCATCCCACCGCGAGCCGATCCCCCATGAAACGTTGCCCTCGAATCGGGGTGCATCCCCCCTGGAAAACGTTGCTTAATTCTCGTTTCGCGATGGAGGCCGTTACCGGCCCTGGTCGCCACACCCACCCCCCCAAGACAACGGCACGATTCGTGCTGACCTCTGAATTGTCTTCAGCCATTCCTAAACACTCCCAGACTGAGCATCGTGTAACCGATCCCCATCCCCAGCGGCGTGGCCTGGGCCCCACTGGCCGATTTACCCCCCTAGCTGGGGATACAGGCCGTTCCCTTCGGGTTTCGAGGGGTGTATCCCCAACTGGGGTGGCAATTTGATGGAGGTCTCGAAGGGGATGAAGATGTGGATGGGGGTCGGTTAAACGATACTGAGACTAGGCTGGATGAGGCCCGGGATCAAGCCGGGCCGTGCCAAAAAAGGCTGGCGTTCGGCCACGGAGAGCTGCCGGTGCCGACGCCCAGCGCTGCAGCCACAAGCAGCGTTTTTCGTGCTCGGTCTGTCTGCGCTCTCTCCCTCGCGCTGCCTTCGTGCCACCCTCGCTGCACAGCGAAGGCAGAACGAGAGCGGCCCACGAAGTCGCCAAGACACCGCTCAGGTCGACCCCTGCAGACGCCGAATTTCATACAAGGGAGGCCAGTCCACAAGAACTCCTCCTCCTCCTCCTCCTCCTCCTCCTCCTCGACCCCTGCAGACGCCGAATCTTATATCCCAGGAGTTGCTTTTTCCAAGTGGGGGGGGGAGCGGGCGGGCGCGGCGCTCGGTGGCATGGCCCCCTGGGAGATACCCCCACATCCTCTGGGACACGACCCGGGGGGAGGGGGCAGGCGCAGGGGGGGAAGCATCGACCTGGAATCGGCGATACGTCGCCGACAGATCGGCGAGAAGCCCACGAGAGCGAATGCGCACGCTCCTTGGCGGGTCGGGGCTATCGGGGACCGATCGGCGATCCGTGGGCGATCCGGGGGCGATGCATCACCCCCTTATGCCTATCCCCCTCTATCGGTGCCCCTCCTCTTTGAAGGGGCCCCAGGACACACAAATAAATACACACAAATAAACTGATTCTCCATATTTTCCCATATTTTCTGGGTTTCTGTCTTCCCCCCCACTTCCCATATTTTCCCATATTTTGGGGGGAATCGAGGATTAATTGTGTCTGTGTGTTTCTTTTCCTCCTGACTCTTGTCGTGCACAGAGTCATGACGGGGGATGCCTGGCCGTTCTCGGCATCCCGGCGGGGGCGTGCTGGGCCCCAGGAGCGTAGAAAGCGACTCAGGACGAGAAGCTGACCCCAGGGAAGGGGCCCAGACCTCTGGGGGTCAATCTTGTGAGGACAAAACGACATAGGAGTTCTGGGTATGCCGCTGGGGGCGCACTTTGGGGGCAGGGGGCGGTTCAGGCGAGCGAGACCACGGACAACTCTGGAGCCAGATGCTGCCGACCTCACCACAGGTTTCGAGTATGATATGACAAATGCGACATCCTCCAGGCCATGCCGCTTTTGAAACCCCAGGCGAGTGTTTCCTTGTTCTGCCCTCCTCGCGTCGAGTCTGCGCCGTCTGTCTGCTCATGAACGCCCTGCCATCGTCGGGGGCGCGCAAACATGGATTAGCGATCCATGGATTTGGCGCGCGGTCGCCAAATCCATGGATCGGGGGAGGTGCCCTCCCCAAACTGCGGCCAGTGCCGCCTCGCTCGGCGGCGCAAATCCGCGATTTCCCATGGAAACAGGACCCGTCGCTAATCCAATGGAAGCAGGACCCGTCGCTAATCCACGCCCCGTTAGTCCATGTTTGCGATCGCCTGCCATCGCCGATTCCCTCTCCAGCCCCGTCCCCTTGCCGTCTGCGTGGCTCTCCCCCGCGTGCCCCGCCTGCTCGCTGAACGCGCTGTGCGGCTTCTGCGGCTTCAGCTTCCAGAGCTGCGCGGGCGAAGGCGGGCCAAGGACGCGCGCGGCCCCCGCCAAGTCAACTCGAGCAGGGACCGACCGCCCAGGCATTACCACAGGCCTACCACGACGTGCTCTCAGAACCCAACAGCAATATTCCAAGACCAGAGACAATGTGCTCAGAACATGAATCCGACGTGTGAACACGAGACATTGGGCGCCCGAACTATCCGGGGCAACTCGGGTCCGGGGCAGGTCGGGCTCGGAATCCCAGAAAACGAACCCGAGTTGGCCCTGACCCGAGTTACCCCTAGATGATCCGGGGCTCTGAGAGACAGCCCCGGCCAGGAAGGTTCCGAGAACACGCCGTGCAGACCACGAGCGGGCCTCAGAGCCTCCTCTGGCAGGCCGACAGGAGGAACAGGAGAGGTAGTAGTAGGAGAAGGAGGAGGAGGAGGAGGAGGAGGCCGAGGAAGGGGGGAGGAGGAGGAGGAGGAGGAGGAGGAGGAGGAGGAGGAGGAGGAGGAGGAGGAGGAGGAGGAGGAGGAGGAGGAGGAGGAGGAGGAGGAGGAGGAGGAGGAGGAGGAGGAGGAGGAGGAGGAGACGCGCTCCGTCGCTGCTCGAAGCGAGGGCCCCCTCCCGAGGGGAGGCGGGCGCCGGCAGCCGCAGCGACGGCCTCCGGGGGAGGGCGGGTGCCGGCAGGGCCGAGCCGGCCAGGGCCGGCCAGGGCGGGCCCCCGAGCGGTGCCTGCGAGGGCTCCGCGGGTCGCTGCCGGCTCGCGCGTGCCGAAGGGGAGCCGCAGAGAAAGGAGCGGGGGGCGGCGGTGCGGGGCCCGAGGAGGAGGAGGAGGAGGAGGAGGAGGAGGAGGAGGAGGAAGAGGAGGAGGAGGAGGAGGAGGGGGCGCGCAGAGACGTGCTTGGCACTGCGTGTCCACCTCGGGAGGCGCGCGTCCGGCCCGAGCATCTGGTTATGCCCATCTTGCGGTGCCTCGTTTCCCCAGGGGTGCGGGCCAGGAAGCGCCGGCCAGGACGCACAGACAAGAAGATTTCTCGATGCGCGCGTCGCCCCTGGGGGGGGGGGCGACGCACATATATTACACCACGCGAAATGGTTAAGAAATCATGGGTTAAGAAATTCATGGTCTCAGAACTTGAACTAAAACCCAACATTTCTATTACAATATTAGGATTGACCTTGAAACATTAAGAATAATCGAGACTCTGGCCGAAAATTTAAGCTTTCTTAAGCATCGCCTAAGGTGTATATTACAAGTGTGTTGGGGTGGCGCCGATGGAAAGCCATCGAAGAGGAAGACGGCGAGAGCGGCACGTAGGCGAGCCAAGGAAAGGAGGCGGGGCTGCGTGAGGCAAAGGATAAAGGGAAATTAGGACACACAAATAAATAGACACAAAAAAAATAATCCCTCATATTTTCGCATATTTTCTGGGTTTTTGTCTTCCCCCCCACTTCCCATATTTTCCCTTATTTTCCTGGGAATCGCCGATTAATTGTGTCTGTGTGTTTTTCTCCTCCTGAAAGGAGACCCAGCAAACACTCCCGTCAGGCTGATCACCGATGCCGTTGCCCTTGGACCAGGAGGGGAAGGGACACCAGCAAGACCAGCGCAGCGTATCGTTCTACCTCTCAGTCTCCCTCGCCAGACCTCCATCATGCTGGTGAAGTGGGACCACTGCTGGTCAAACTCCAGGCTGTAGGCCTGGGCGCGAGTGCAGACATGCCCAACAGCTTCTCTAGCTATCTGGCCACCTCCGTGCCAGTACTGCAGAGCGCGAGTGCTTCTGCCATGTGCACATCAGAGCGCCAAGCACTCCACGAGAACTCAACGGCCCCCGACATGGATGATCGTGATAACCCCTTCGTCTCCTCTGAAGCAGGCTGCTCATCCTCCTCCTCATCATCACCACCTCACCTCATCATCACCATCGCTGCCACCATCATCAGAATCATCATGAGCAGAAGCATCATCAACAACATCAGCATCAGCATCATCATCACCAGCATCAGCATCATCATCATCAGCGTCATCCTCATCATCGTCATCATCAGCATCATCATCACCATCAGCATCAGCATCAGCATCAGCATCAGCATCGACATCATAATCATCATCATCATCAGCAGCATCATCAACAACACCATCACCACCGCCATCACCACCGCCATCACCACCACCTCCATCATCATCATCAGCATCGTCATCATCATCATCATCATCATCAGCAGCAGCAGCATCATGATCATCAGCATCATCCTCTTTCTGACCCCCCCTCCTCCTCTACCCAGATAGGTGCCCAATTATCAGCAGTGGACTCCAGAGAATAGCCCTACAAGATAGGGACACTACGAGACCGTATTGGGGCCCATGATTCCTCATCCTGCCCTTCCAAATGATCCTCCTCCTCGTCTGCTCATCCTACTCCACCTCACCGTCGCCACCCTCCTGGTCAGCGTCGATATCATATCTCTGTTCCCGCTCCACCTCCCTCTCCTCGTTCTCATCGTTGCGCCCTTTCGAACAGAGCGTGCTCGATGCTGGGAAAGTTCTGCGGGTTGTTACACAAAACGCACCTTCTCATGTGAAGTAAGTTCCTGCCCGTGTGGTATAAGTTCAAGCGCGGTGTGACCCTACAATGACTCGCCTGAGACGGATCCACCTTCGTGCTAGAGGCACTGAGTGGAGTGGCATCAGGCCGATGCGAGCTCTCTGGATTGACGATTGTAATACTTTTTCAGGGACCCACACCCAAGATGTCCAGAAGACACGGGCGCTCTGATGTTCTGTTTCGCAATGTGCATTGTGGCCCTGGGCGCGTGGTTTGTGGTCCATACGTCCCACGTGTCCTTGGGGCCCGTCTCTCTTTGAGGGCCTCTGGCCGTCGTGGAGACCCTGAGGGCCAGCCAAGGATGCCAAAACCCCGGAAGAAGAACACACGCTTGAATGACTTACGGCAGGTTCGTGTCGTGCCGACCCCAGCGTTGGTTTTTGACACCGCAGGGATCGTTCAACCTTGAAAGATCGGCCGCTGCCGCAACGTCCGATCGTTCAACATCGATCGATTCTGGGTCGCCGGCGGCGTTCAACCTTGAACGCCCGCGCTGGGGTCGCCGCCGGTCGACACGACGCAAACCTACCGTACGCATTATCCCATGTTCGGTCGCACGTGCGTCCAAGACGGCCCAAGAGGCTCCCGAGGCAATTCTTACAGGGCCCCCGAGGCCGCCAAGAGAGGCCT